GATTTCGATGTGGATTTTGGTGTGGATTTGATGTGGATTTTGGTGTGGATTTGATATAGATTTTGGTGTGGATTTTGGTGTGGATTTCGATGTGGATTTTGGTGTGGATTTCGATGTGGATTTCAATGTGGATTTGATATAGACTTTGGTGTGGATTTCAGTGTGGATTTGATGTGGATTTGGGTGTGGATTTGATGTGGATTTTGGTGTGGATTTGATGTGGATTTTGATGTGGATTTTGGTGTGGATTTGATACAGATTTTGGTGTGGATTTGGTTCCCACGAGGGTGGAGCTTGCGTCTGTGCATCTGTGCCCACCTCCCACAGGCCTCTTCTGTTTCCTTGGTGACGGGCCAGGCAAGGGCAGCAGAGGGCCAGATTCTGGGGGTCCCACTGTGTGTGCCAGGACAGGACCACAAGGTGGGGAGCCAGTAGGCCTGGGAGTCAGCTTCAAGGAAGAGGTGACATGCTCTCGCTGTGAAGCCCAAGCGGCGCCCCTCAGAGTGCGGGAAGAAGCCACCTCGTGCCACAGCCGTCGGAGAGGAGCAGAGCAGAGAGCCTCTTACCCTGGTGCTCGCTCCAGTTAGCTCTTGACTCTGACATTGTCTCTCCTGCCTCACGTTCAAGGTCCTCTCCTCCACGCCCCTTCCTGTGGTCCCTGTGTCCTCCTGTCCCAGCACCTGTCACAGGTACGTCACTACCATGGTCGGTTTCAGCCTCGGATCTTATCTGTGGCCTGGCATGTGTTGACGCTGGATAGATGTTTGTTGAATGAATGGTGTCTGGCGCCACTTCTGCAGATGCCCAAGGCCCCCTCCTAGTCCTCCTGATGCTCTGAGGTGCCCTCGCCCGCGTGGGGCCAGGCTCTGCCAGTGTGTGATCGGGCCCGGCCGGCCAGCGCGTCTCTGCTCTGGGAGGACTCTGAATGTTCAAGTGCCTTCGCTCCGGCTCGGGTGGAAAGGGGGATGGGGACCCATTGCATTAACTCCACGGCGACCGTGTGGGCACCTTCCACATGAGTGCTGCTGTGGCCGCGGGCGCATGAAGGAGGTGACACCCAGGCCCTGGCTCTGAGATGGGCACGTGGCTCAGGCAGGCAGCTGGCGAGTCGCTCAGCCTGAGGGACTGGGAACAGCTACAAGAGGAGGTAGCATTT